AGCATTACCTCACTTATCTTCTGTAATATTCTGACTGCTCACTGATGATAATCCCTAATGATAAATTCAGCTGATAATGATGATGATAAAATCATCATTCCTAATGATGATTCAGCTCCCCAGGATAGAGATTACAGAACATGAGCCCCAGATAGGAACTGAGAGCATGGAAAAGCAGAAATAATTCAAAAAAAAAGAAAAAAAAAAGTTGTTGATAAGAAAGGCTTATCTTGCTCAATTATTTGGACAGTACTCTAGAAGAAGGAATGTCTAGAGGAGAAAGGAAGATAAGACTCCAGACTAAAGAATGGGAGATTTAATGGAGATGGAAAGAATAATGCACAAAAATCGAAAGACTCAGGCACAAAGCTGGTAACAAAGGAGCTTGCTCTGGATTGCTGCTCCATTTCCACTCACGTAGATGAGACACAGTGCATTTCTGGATGTCTGCTTTTATTTGCTCCTGCAGATACTGATCCAATGATGTGATAATCCATGGATCTACTTTGGCACAGCAAATCTACACCCTTCCTAAAGCACTGCAACAAAACAGTAAGTAGTGAAAATAAGCTCTCCAAGCTACCTGTCCTCAGTTCGTTTCCACAATATGCAGTGTCTGTCCAACACCGTGTACCTTAGGACTCACTACTGGATGAAATTTCTTTTTTTTTTTGAAACATCAGCAATGTTATCTTGTTTATTTCTCAAACAGCTTTCTGATTTGAGGGTTGATAACTCACTTTCAGAGTGATTCTGATTTGCAGGGTTTCTTTGGTTACATGCAAGCAAAAGAAGACATTCTCAGGATTATAACAATTTTAACAGCTTGGAAATGATTCTCAGAGGAAGCCCTTACATCCAAAGTATTTCAGGATTTTCAAACGAACCATTCAGATACAGCAATCTTTGCAGAGTATCAGTCAAGGAAGTGGTTTAGTKAGTATCATGTGTGTGCATGTCTGTGTGCAGATCTGCAAACACCAACAGCGAGGACAGAGGGACAGAGGAAACCCAAAAACAGAGCAGAGTTCAGCTTTGTCTAACTCACATACTATTTTCAGTATTTGTAAGATAGAAAGCAATTCAAGATCGTAAAGCAGGAATATAAAACAGTGAAAAAAACCCCTGTATTTTAATGGCAGAACAAATAATGACAATTTTATTTTCACAATTATGGGCTGTTAAAACCACTGAGGTTAGCAATTTAGCTGACCTAGGGCCACGTATAGTTTAGAAAAGCAGCTCTTACTCAGCTTCAGAAAAGTGTCCCCATATTAAGATGYCAGGGATCATTGCTGTTTATGCACTGGCAGCTTTCCATAATAATCAGATCCTTGGCCAGTCCGGAGGAAAAGAGACTAATGCCCTGTTTTTCAGACATTACTTGTTTCTCCTAGTAAAACGTGCTTACCTTCCTGCAGCACAGGACTGTGTCCTAACAAATCAGTGCTTAATTACTAGTTGCTTCAGTCTGCATGCAAACAAGAAATATAATGAAATTTTGTTCCCACTTTCCTTTTTCCTCCACGTCCACTTAATTCTTTCTTTAACTACAGCAACTATTTCTTATTGATATTTGGGGTTAAATTCCATCCTTTTAGGCTTACACAACACAGTTTATAGCACCAGAGGCTTGCCTGAGTGGATGTTGACATTCTCTTCACCAGCAGTCTCTGCATTTCTCCAAACACTGCTCACAACTATCAGTCTTAAAATTCACACTTTACACTGATCATAGGAATTACTTTATTGGGATTCTATCCAACCCTTAAACACTGGCACTGGCTAGCTGATGAAACCAAGTTAACAGCACACCATCTATATCTAAGTGCAGCAATTTTGCAAGTCGTGAAGAACAACGGAATCCATTCAGATTTGGTGAGACTATTTTACATTCTCTATGCAGTGCTGTGGTGCTAAGGAAAGGAGATTAAGTCATTTAAAATGTATTGATCTGAGAAGTAAATTAAAGCATTAACTCTACCACTTTTGCTCCAAAGAAGTCAAGGAAAAAAGAGTGCTTCTGTCCAAAACACTGAGAAATTTTTTTCTAGGTTTTCATTGACTTGAAGACAGATGGTTTAAGAGCAATTTCAGACCCTTGGCAAGGGGAGCACGGCTGGCCGAGCAGCTGCAGGAGGAGACAACGTGCCTGCGCACAGAAGGACAGAAGGCATGAAGAAAACATGGGKTTTTTTTGCTTGTTTTTCTGTTTTGTTTTGTTCTCCATGTTTGTTTTTGATCCATAACTAACCAGGTCCAATGACCCTGCCAAACAGTGTGATTCCAGCCAACCCACAGGTGAGGGCACAACCTGCCTCAGATGTCAGCTCCCAGCATCATCCCAGAGCAGGTCGATTTTGTTGCTCTAGCTATTCCACGTTTTACCAGCAAAATTCCAATTACTTGATTTTTGGGATTCACAAGGCAATCTTTGCCTGTCCAGGTGATTATTGCTACTGCAGTAGAAAAAAATCATAATGAAGTGTAAGAAAAATGCATCCTTTAGGCAAGGCCACGAGGGAGATGGAGGGRCTGGGAGGCAGCACAGAGTATAACACGTGTTTCCAACAACGGCAGTGGAGAGCTTTTACCAGCGGAGCACTCCCAGACCTCCGCAGCGTATAGGAATCAAGTTGCTCAGCACTCTGCGTTATCAGGCCCTAGAAAGACTAAATAATTGCCATCCCAGATCATAACTACTTTGACTTGCACATCTGCAAACTTCACAGAGGTGCAGGAGAGTCGAGAGGACAGAGAGGACACCATGCAGAACTGGTGAACATGCCAAGTGACCACTCTCTGTCTGGCAGGTAGCATTCATCCTCTCCTCATACTGCATTTGTTTAACTGCTAGGTACTCAGAGTCGACAAAATCCATACTCTGRAATACAGAAAACAAAAGCAAATCTAACCCAACACCTGTCTAACATTTAGATTTAATGACATGCCTACTGTGTATTTATATCCCGATGTTCTGGGCTAATAAACCCACATCTTTTTTTTACACCCATGGAAGTCAAAGAGTAGAATTAAACTGGGAAGTTTCTTGGCTGCCATCTACTGTTCAAAATTCTTCTGTAATAATTAGATTAAAAAGAAGAGCAAACTCCACGCATTCTCCTTTTTTTTTTTCCCCACAGTTCTCAGATAAAAAAATATCTTTGGAGTGTTATTTAAAAACATTATATTTTTTAAGGATTCCATATATATGCATTTAGTTTTATCTTTCAAGACAATTTTCGATGAAGTCAGGTTAAAAACTCCGTAGATTTATTACCATGCAAAATGCTATGACTGAATTCATGCATTTTAAGATAAGTAGCTATTTCTCAGATCCCCTTTTTCAGATGTTTCAAGGATGGTGGGTTCAAATCCTTTARTAACTTACCTACATTTTTTCAGATAACTAATTTACCCAAGTCAACCCTCATTTAATTACRAATTTGCTTAAATAGCAATAACAGAGTCTGTTACCTACTGCAAACCTAAATCTTGATAATATTCTTCAGAAAAAAAAATTATGAATATATTTCTTTTTGGTATAATACAGACTTGAAAGGCTATGCATACTTGCCTCGTAATCAGTACCAAGAACTAGAAATGCAAAAGCCTGTAAATTCAACAACAGTGAGAAAACTATAGCAGTTAAGAAGTTCTCTCTAGTAATTCACTAGAGAGGGATTTTACATGTAAAGCATTAACTATAACTGCACTAGGACAGAGATTGAAAAATAACGTTCAAGGAACTGGTCTGCCTGTGTTATTATCATAAATAAGCCCCTAAACATATTAATTTCTCTCTTTCTTTTTGGAAGTGCCTAGACCTCTGTCCTGGTCAACATCTCTACCCCGCATTCCTCTTCTTTGCTGCCCCAGAGATACCATTGGGATACTGCACATGTGACCAACGAGACCGACTAGAATGAAAAAGGAATCACATCTTGAATGAAAGAATGAAAATGTCACATCTAGAAGAGGAATTGGACATTAGTTTAAATAACATAGACAGTCAGGTTGTCACAGGTTATGAGAAACCACTGTTGTCTGCAGTGAAGGGGAGCCAGGAGTCTACTGAGTTTCCTGAGCCTGCAAGGAGGAGAACACCTGAAATGTGTTCTCTGTGTGAAATTCTGTCAGCTGCTCATTCGAACACAGGGAGGAGAGCTCACAAATATGACTTTAGTTATGTTCTTACATGYTGAGGACTCACCTAGAATATACCGGAAATCGAATGGCTCATACAAAAGCACCTAATACCCCTCTTTACCCTTTGCATTATTTAAGAGATACTTTTTAGCCCGATGCTTTAATTGCAGAACTGTGGAATAATTTACACTGAAAGGAACCTCTCCAGCTATTCAAAGAAGATGCAGCTAGTTGAGGTTCCTCAGCTCTTATCCTGGTGAGTTTTCAAGAGGGTGGAGCCACCCAACCTGTCTGGTCAGCCTGTTCCAGTGTTTAACCATACTCACCAGCCAACACGTCTCCTGCTCATTCATCATTCACCTGGTTCACCCATGGCTCTGTGCGTGTTTGTGCATCTGTCTACATCCTACTCTTCACAGAACTGATATGCTCATGTATATATCACATATGTGTGTTTGTATATATGCACACATACATGCATACATATGTGTCTTTAGACA